TCCGTTTAGTTTATTAGTTTCTTTGGCTGTCATATGGTTTTAGCATATAAACCAAAAGGAAATTAGGGAATAAAAAAACCTGTTTTTCAACGGAGTAAAAAAGTTCTGATAACTAAAATTTAATGTTATATTAATTATGGTAGACATGTACAATTACAGACAAAAAATAATAGAAGAAATAACAAATTTTGCTAATACTGCTGGTTTGCAGTCCTATGAACTTACTGATAAAATTAAGGAGTTAGCTAACTCTGAGCCCAATTTTAAAGAATTTGCTAAGATTGGTAGTTGACGAGATTTTATATATGAAAGGAATGAGGTGGCTGCTATTGATAAAGTGAGAGAAGTCATGTTTAAAGTGATAAATAATTGAGCTAAGGAAAAGCGAGATAAAGAAGCAGCAAAAAAAGACAAAGAAAACAAAAAGAATGTCAATTATTGAAAGGAAAATAGCCAATATTGGCAAGAAAGCAGTAATTGGTGAAGGGAATATAATGCCGGCGAACATGCTTGACAAAAAAACTCAGCCAAAAGAGATGAAGAAAATCGCAAAAGTTTAGACAATTATAGCAACAATTACAATAATTGACGAACAGAACACGATGAAAAAACCAAAAAAGAAATGATTAGTGATATCGAGTTTGATTTAAAAAAGAAAGAAGTTTCAGAGGAAAGATTAAATCAGAGGTTAGGAGTTAGCGATTGGCGGGAAGAAATTAGAAAATGTTCAGATAGCACTCATGCCATACACAGAAGGTCGGATTTATGGGATGTAATTCGTAATTTGCAGTATGAATATACTTGTGCCAATTGCGGAGTAAAAAAAGAAGCGTATACTGCTTATTGCTTTGGCAACAAAAAATGCTGTTCCTGAGAATGTGAAAAAGCGTTAAAGGATAAAGAAAAAGGGGGGAAAGATAAGAAAAAAGATGATAGTTCAGCCAACCACGAAGGTAAACTGGGGATTTCTAATATTAATGAATTTTTCTCTTGAATGAAAAAAATGGGAGTGGAAAAAATTGAATTTGATTTTGATACTAATCAAGTAGTAATTAAATGTAAAAATAACCAAAAGTTAAATATTACTGATAGTGGTTTACCACCCAAACAACAAGAAGAATTAACCCAACAACTAAAATCTACCCATAAACCAATTACTTTTAGCCAAGTTGATAAAGAAGTTAACCGTAATGAGAAGCCAAAAAATGATAACTCAGGAATAATCGGTGCTGCTATTTTAATAATGGGAATAATAGCCATTGTTATTGGCGTAATTGTTTACAAAAACAAGAGAAAAAATTATTAATTAACTGCTAATGTTTCGCCGACTCTGATATTGAATTAAAAAGGTTTACAAAAGACTGTGGACAGTGCTTTATCCTAACCCTCTAGTTGCTCCGCGGGTAGCGGACAGCAAAGTTTCTATCGAGATAATTAATGACAAAATTAAGTTATTAAAAAAAACCAATAAGCAAGCGATTGATATTGGGGCTTACCAAAGATATTTTGATTTTTTGGAAAAATTGGGCTTGCAGGAGGAGTTTGACCTTGCTACTTCCCAAGATAAATTAATTATTCACGGAACCAGTATTAAGCCAATATTAAAGAATGATAATAATAATAAAGTAGTTATTTTTTGCCACGGGGTTACTAATAATCGGTGAGCACTTTTTTATACTATGCATTTGGCACTGCAACGGGGCTATCAAGTAGTGGCTTATGATGCTCGTAATCACGGGCTCTCAGAAAAATCCTACACCAGTTTAGGGCAATTGGAAGCCTGTGATTTGCAAGATATTATCGAGTATGTGAAAAAAAAATACCAACCAGTAAAAATTGGCTTGTATGGCTTTTCCATGGGGGCTAATACTTTAATTTTTTGACAGGGTTATTTTGCGGGACCTAGTAATTTGGAAGTAGCATTTACCATTTGCGAAGCACCCTTTGACCATTTTGCTAAGCAGTGAAAAATTACTATGGGCAACGGGATAAATTATTATTGAAAATCATTTTTTGCTACCAAAATAATGACCGAAATTCTTAATACTTCCTACAAAGAGTTAGAAAAAATTGAACCTTTTTTAGTTTTACCCCAGCAATTACCCACTAAATTATTGCTATTACACGGACTACAAGACCAAGTTTGCGATTGACGAGCCTCTTTTAATCTTTATTATCAATTAAGCAAAAATAAGGCTAATAAGAGCAAGGCTAATCTTTATCTTTTCCGGCATGCTGACCATGGTGAAGTGCCTTTTATCGGCGATTACATTCCTCATAGTTTACGCTGAAAAACCCGTCGCCATGGTTCCCACTACACTTTTAGCACGCTTTTTTTTAGTTATTTAGCCAAGAATTTATAAAAAGAAGGAATGAAGCAATTAACTTTCTCTTTTTATAAAATTATTTTTGACTTAGTATTTTTAGTCCTGGACCCATGGTTGTGGAAATAGTTATATTTTTCAGCACCTCTCCTTTTCCGCCAACCGGTTGTAGATTAATTATTGTGTCATAGATAGTTTTGAAGTTTGCTTCTAATTGTTTACGACTAAAATCGCTGCTTCCAATTACGGCATGGATATTACCGCCTTTATCAGTCTTGATTTCTTTTTCGCCTTGCTGGAACTTTTCTACTTCGGTTAATATATTTTCCGTGAGCGAACCATTTTTTTTATTAGGGAAAGCACCTTTGGGGGCTAATATTTTTTCTAGTGTTTTAAGTTTGGTTTCACTATTAGGGTGAGCCAGTAATTTAGTAAAGCCTCACTGGGATTTCTTTTTCTTTTCGGTCTTTTGCCGCACTTCCGCCACGGTCAATAATTCTACTTGCTCATTCTTTGTTAAATTACTTACAATATCGGTTGGCAAATCTTCCTTAATAATTGCTAACTTACCCTTGGGCGGGAGAGGATGGGGTAAAATTATTTTGCTTTTGAGTATATTTTTTTGGTTAGCCCAATTTAAGGAAAAACTTGCTTTAATATTTTTTAATTTTTCACGATTATTATTTTGGAGAAAATTTAAACTTTCAGCCACGGAATAGTGTTTATTATTAGGAACGTGTTCTTTGATTGCTCGGTAGCGGCGCGAGTGTTTTTTCATTTATAATAATTTTATACAGTTATATTGCATTTATTATAGCTTCCAGGTTAAATGTATAATGAAATTTTGTGAAAAGAATTTGGCTTAGATAAGATTGACCTTTCGTGAACCCCTTTTTTTCAGCAGGAAGCCAAAAAGGAGTATTTTTTGCCCTTACTTGCTAAATTGGACGGAGAATATAAAAGTTATAAATGCTGGCCAAAGAAAGAAGATATTTTCCGGCTTTTTCGCTTAATCTCCTTGGCTAAAATAAAAGTGGTAATATTGGGGCAAGACCCTTACCATTTGCCAGAAGTGGCGGACGGGATTGCGTTTAGCACCCAAAAGCCTAATTATATACCCGCTAGTTTAAAAAATATTTTTTTGGAGTTTAGCCAGGACCTTAATTGTTCACCGCCCACTAACGGTGATTTACTCCCCTGAGTTAAAGAAGGAGTTTTTTTGCTTAATACTGCTCTGTCCGTGCGCGACGGTCAAGCCCTTTCTCATATGAGTTGGTGAAAAGAGTTTATTTATTCTCTACTGACTTGCCTAAAAAACTACGACGAAAAATTAATCTGGGTATTCTGGGGGCAAAAGGCCCGAAAAATTGGTGAAGAATGTCAAATTAGTAATGATTATAGTCTAATCAGCGTTCACCCCTCTCCTTATAGTGCTGAATATGGTTTTTTTGGTTCTCGACCTTTTTCCCAGATTAATAATCTATTAGTGAAGCTAGGAAAAGAGCCGATTAACTGGACAAAAGAAAAATCGGTCAATTAATGAAAGTTTCTAAAAGAGTATGAATAAATGCTGCTTATTTTTCTTTTGTTATCGTCCAAAACAATCTAATTTCTTATAAAACTTTAATCTTTATTCTTAATACATAAAATTGCTAAATGACTATTTTTTTCTCTTTTTCCCGAACTGGCGAATAATGAAAAAAATAAAGAGATATAAAAAAAACAATAGGAAAGAAAGGAGTAAAAAAGAAATTAGGAAAGAAAGGCGCATTAAATTTCTTCCTCAAACTCTCCCGAAAGAAGTTTTTTTTAATCAGTCTTCGATAAAAAAAGATAACAAAAAACTAGAAACAAATAAAGTAAATCCAATTAAAAAACCAGCAACAGACATAATACATTTTTTTAAGTTTCGCAGACTTTACAACCAGATTTATAACTAATTCCATTTTATCTTTCTTTATTTAACACGCTTACTAACTCTTTTTTATCTATTCCTTTTTCCAGTAAATCCCGATAATTTTTGTATAATGCTTGGCATTTTTCTAAAACTTTTTCTGCTTCTTCTTTACCGAAAAATCCTTTAATCTCTACTTTTTTTTTTTCTAATTCCTTGTAACGAAAGAAAAAATTACTGATTTCATTTAATTTTTCGGAACTAATATCTTTTAATTCTTGGATATTATTAAGTCGCGGGTCAACCGCGTTTACGGCTAATATTTTGTCATCTTCTTCGTTGCCATCAATCATTTTAAGAACACCAATAATGCGAATGGGTAAATGGCAACTAGGAAAAGTGGGATAATTAGCGAGGCAAACAACGTCTAAGGGGTCACCGTCATAATCTAAAGTTTCTGGAATAAATCCATATTCTTCGGGATAATACATAGCACTCGCCAAAACCCGGTCTAATTCTCATTGTTGAGTAGTAATATTATATTCGTACTTATTAGTTGAGTGTTTAGGTATTTCGACGATTATTTTCATAATATTTATTTTTTTCTCAACTAATGCTGATATTTAACTTTTTAACTACTTTCTCGGCGGCTCGCTGTTCGGCTTCTTTTTTACTCTTTCCTTCTCCTCTTTCTTGAAAAGTCCCCCCTTCATCGCTGACTTCCATAATAAATAACTGCTGGTGCTGGCGGCGAAGAGTATTTTTTAATTGATAATAAACCTTATTTTTGCGAGCTTGGCAATACTCTTGCAGTTGGCTTTTATAATCTCAAATCATCTCTTCTTTACCTTTAACCCAAGCAAAAAGAGTAAGGCTGAGGAAGTTATAGACGGTCTTGCCACCTTTTTCTAAATACAAAGCTGCTGTAAAAGACTCAAATATATCCGCCAAGATACTATTTTTGTCCCGGCCTTGATTTTTTTTTTCCCCTGCTCCTAATTGGAGATACTGATTTAAACCTATTTCTCGGCTTAACTGGGCTAAGGTGCTTTCTTGAACCATTAGCTGTTTCAATTTACTCATTTGTCCTTCGGCAAAATCAGGAAAGGTGTGATAAATAAAAAGGCTGGTATAAAAGTTTAAGATGCTATCTCCCAAAAACTCTAAGGTTTCGTAAGATTGGAGTAAAATTGGGGGCGGGTCTTTTAAATTATTAACCTCATTACAATGAGAAGTGTGAGTGAAAGCTTGTTGAAAATGAGCTGTGCCTTTAATACTGGTAATTATTTTTCTAATTCGTGTTGGTGTCATTAGTATGGAGAGTGCCAATTTGTTTTAGATAAGGAGTAAGCAGGTAATAATTCCATTTGCTTAAATGACAATTTATCACGTAAACAATTTCTTCTCTTTCGCCTTTTTTTCGATAAACAGTATAGTAAATAGGAGAGAACTTGGTCAGCAGTTTTAAGCCTTTATTACGACTTTCTTCGGTTAAAGAGTAAACGCGTAAAAGCACTAGTCGGTCACGGGGAAAGATTTGACTAATCAGAAAAGAGGAAAGGAAAATATAAACCATGGTGGCTCATAATCTTTCATTATTAGTAATATAAGATAAGTATTTTCCCACCACATTTCTCCCTTGTTCTTTTTTTAGTTGATTTTTTCTTTCCTCCAAATTACTTTTTCTGGGTAATAATTTTTCTTTTTTAGTGGTTGCAGCTGATTTTACTTGCTCTCCAATCTGGTCTATTTCCGTTTGTAATTTAACTATTTTTTCTTGGTCGTTGGCTAAATAATATTCTACTTCTTGGGGATAATCTTCTAATTGTGGTTCCCCCGTTTTATTTTTTAATAAAGTAGTAAGTCAGCGTTTTTTTTCTCTAACTTTAAACTTCTCTTCTTCT